CTACTCGCCAAACCCCCCACCTCCCCATGGAGAATGGCAGACCTGCCGGCTGCATACAAGTGACATCGCCGAGATCACTTGTACAAAACAAGCGGCGGCTTCCCCGCTGTACATCTAGCTCTGCTTGCCCAAAGCAGGGCTAAATGTAGACAACAACTACCCACCCGGCGCCCAGAACTGCATGTCCCAGGCAGCGGGAGATAGGAATTCCACACCCCTGCTGCCCCTCTACTCCCTGCTGCCCCGAGGCCGGGCCTTGGTTGGCCTTTTGGGAAATCCGGCCCTGCTTCTATACACTCAATTATACTCCTTTACTTAATCGTTTAGAAGACTTTCTTCACTCCTGGATGAATCTTCATCACACTTGGTTCAGTATTAATACCTTATTCAAAATGAAGCTACTTCCCCGATGCCTCTACCTGTTTCAAACTCTACCTTTGGTTCTACCATCTATCTTTTTTCGGAGATTGAAGACAGCCATTTTACTCTACATTTGGAGGGGGAAAAAACCTAGACTCTGCTATGACTCTGTTAAATGGAGAAAAGAGAGTGGAGGACTTGCCCTTCCCCGATGTTTAGATGTATTATAAAGCCACTCATCTTTCGCATATAGTGGGCTGGTTCAACGTGGCCTTGGGTCAGTGCTAGAACAAGACCTCTCACCGGTCCCTTTACCAAATCTCCCTTGGCTTTCATTTTCTCTTCTCCCGAATTTCCACCACTTTACCTTTTTTCCTTCCTCTGGTGTTGAAGGTTTAGATCTCGTTTAGGTCTACTTTCAGGTTATCTAACCCTTATGGCCCTTTGAGACCGTATTGGGTAATCCATCCTTGCCTCCAGGCTGTGGTGTCTCATCTTTTCTGAAGTAAATTCAAATATTTTACAGTCACATACTTATGAAAACTCATCTTTTCTGAAGTGGCGTTCGACGGAACCCTAATATATAAAACAATGCCTTGGACAAGGGAAGATGATGTCTTTCTATCAAATGTAACATTCTACAACTCCATCTCCTAGATCTTGGCCCTTGCAATTGCGCCATTTTGTGGCGACACTGTGGTGACATTGTCCCCAGAAGGTCAGCTTGTACTATTAACGTTTATGTACCTCCTCACATGCTCCCACACATTTGGTCTCTCTTTTATATAGCTCTCTGATCTCTTCTGATCGTTTGAGCTCTCTGTACTATATTTCAGCTTGGGAAAGGGAAATAGGTGTGACTATTTCAGAGGATGATCAAACCAAATGTCTGTGCCTTACCCAAACGCTATGTATGGCCACTTCGGTGCAGGAGTGTAATTTTAGGCTTCTGACTCATTAGTACTGATCACCTGTTAGGCTCCATTAAATGAACCCCCGAAAATTCTGACATCTGTTGGAGGTGCCACACTGCTGTTGGTACAATGACTCGTATCTGGTGGGAGTGCCCTTTGATCAAGCCGTTCTGGCAATCGATCTCACACATATTCTCCAAGGTGGTTGCCACAGCTGTGACCCTAACTCCGCAATGTTATCTATTCTTCCGGGCTCCATTTCTAAAGTGAAGAAATCCTTGCTTCGGTTTTTTATCATGGCTGCGAGAGCTTTGATTCCTAGATGATTGGATCTTGCTGGTGGTTCTCTCAGTGCAGGACTGGTCTGCGGAGATGTGCACGCTGATGAGGTCGGAGAAGCTACTGGCTCAACACTCTGGCCGTTATGAAGCCTTTTCGGCACGATGGAGACCGTGGCTGTTATTCCTTGAGTCGGAGGATTGCATAGCCCTTGTGTGCATGCCCTGAGCATTTTTGGAACGCATTATGATGTTTCACAATGTCAACAGTGTTCTGGTATGCAGCTGGCAGCTCATTCCATGGAAGGTAGTGGTCATCTCTCCAGTTCTTCTACGCATGTACCTCTATCAGGAACGTTTAGGAACCCACCAAAGAGAAAAAACGGGCAGTGGTGGTAACCCAAAGCAACCAGTCTGAAATGATCTTCCGATAAGGAAAGCAGAGCTCTGATTGGTTGCTGAGCTGATTGAACAG